CCAAGTACTTACTCAAGTCGCCAATAAGTTACTTATCAAGTCCTTCAAGTCCTTAGTATAAATGAGTGAAGCCGAACCAAAGACAGAGGAGCAGCCCCAAGAGGAGCAGAAGATCACCAAGACTAARTCTCCAGGCAGAGTCGCTGCAGGGAAGAAGCTCGCAGAGATGAATAGGAAAAACAAAGCCAAAAAAGAGGCGGAGGACGAAGGCGAATCCTTCATTAATCCAGGATACGTTATCGGCGCATTAGGAGTTGCCATAGCAGCAGGCAGCCTTTACTTACAATGGAAGGCTGCAAAACCCAAACCGGAACCCGTGCATGTGACGCAGGAGTCGCCTAAGAGAAGCAGAATACCCGAAATGGAATGAGCCTTATATATAATAATGATGCTTGCCGGAGGTACATTTCTTACAACTGCCATACTAGGTGGTATGGGCTTCGTTGGTAGACGCGCACTTGGRGTCAAAATAACGCCAGACCCTAGCAAGAGCATACCCAACGCCCTCATAATGGGGCTTTCCTTAGGCGTTGCTTCGCTCGCTTCCCTTTACATAGAGTTGGGTCMGGACAAGTTCTGGCAATACATTAAAGGGCCCGTCCCGGCAATTTTTTACCCATTTTTGACAATTATTACCGACACTTTATCCCAAGAATAGTAATCTGGAAGCAGAAAAAACTAACTGAAAAGTTTTTTTCTAAGCGATTTTCAATTGAAARAGCAATATTTTCTGTCGTGACTGAAAACAAGCTGAAAATAAGTCACGCACTTGGTGACGTCACACGTGTGTAAGTGGATCCAAAGCGATAAAATTTAGGTASATARTGCTGCAGTAGAATCGGGGAAAGATAAGAAGTATTGCTTAATATCTATGCTTCAAATMTATGTTGCGAAAGCGTACAAATAAAACTTGCCCAATACGAAAGTTGTTTGTCTTGTTGGTMATTTTAAGACACAAATTCTCGCTGTTAMGTAGTAGTAAAATGGCGACCTCATTGAACCCTGTAGTARGTCAGAAGCGTAAACGCAAACCTGGCAAACGTTGTGTTGTCATGTTTTGCGACAAAACCAATGAAGACGGTCTGAGCTTGCGCCAATTTCCGAGGGATGCTATCTTATGCCAGAAATGGAATAAGTTCGTTCTGATAAAGCGGGACGGAAAAGGGTGGTCACCAGGAACGGGTCTCGTCTGCAGTGATCACTTCTTGCAAAGCTATTATGAGAGTTATGGGGCGAAACTGGCAGGCTTTTCTAGCAAACTTGTTTTAAAAAAAGGAGCTGTTCCGTCGATTCAGCCAAACCCGACCCCCGAGCAACTTCAGAAGGCTCGAAAAATTTCTCTCAGTACACCATCGCCTGTTACTTGGAAAGACACCGAAGGTA